AGGGAAAACCGATCGTAACAACACAACCGGATCCGGGCCAACCCGTTTTGCCTGAGACTTCCTCACGAAAATGATGAAAATGAGGCTGCGGCCTAGGCGCGGCGGGGGGGTCGTGCACCAGGGGCCCCAACAATAATTATTCTTTAGAAATAATAATGTTCAACAACAACAACCACAACAACAACAACAACAACAACAACAACAACAACAACAACAACAACAACAACAACAACAACAACAAAAAGAAGGATCGGGCCTCGAAAAACTTCCACGCATCCCCTGGCTTCCCCCGTGCTGTCGCGACCTCGTCGGCGCCCAGGGCTCTGCAGACCGCGGCGCGCGCGGGAGGCGCCGATGCCGAGGAGCAGCTCCGGGAGGGCCGCCCGCGCCCAGCCGACCAAGCATGCCGCGGCGCGGCGGCCCGCCCGAACGGGGAGGGCGTCCAGCGGCCTGCGGGCGCCGCCGGGAGGGGGCCCGAAGGGTCGGGGAGGAGGGGGAGGGGGAGAAGGAGGGGACGAGGGGAGCGGACGAGGAGGGGGGGAAGAGGGAAGGAGGAGGGCAGGAGGAGGGAGGAAGAGGGGGGGAGGAGGGGAGGGGAGGAGGCAAGCCTGGTGCGCTCGCGTCATATCTGACGTCCTACCCCTCCCTTCCATTGTTACCATGGCGCAGACATCCTCTCGATTCGCACAGTCGGATGCCGAGCAGGGCCATGATCACGAGAGGGTACGCGATGCATGGTAGAGCACGTCATGGCATGGCGCGGAAGAGCACGGCAGAGCGTAGCGTGCCATAACATGGCGTGGCGTGTGCAGTGAAGCACTGCATCACAAAAAGCATTGCAACGCAAGGCATGGCATCGCACAGCGGCGCAAAGCTCAACACCGCACAGCATGCCAAGGAATGGCGCCGGGTTCCCTGCGGGGTAGGTGGGCCGTCTTCGAAAGGTCTGTGCCGGTCTGCCCTCGTGGCTCCACGTTTGGCTTCTTGGGCTCGCGGAGAAGCTCCACGCGAGGCGGGGCTGATGGAGAGCACCCGCTGGCTCTGCTTTCAAAACCGCCTTTTCAGAGCAGAAACGGGGCTCCCGCTGGGTACTTCCTGAGAACGGCGACGCTCCAAAGTGGGGAGGCTTCTGCGGCCCACGAAATCAACGAATCGGCACCGAATGTGGGATCACTTCCGACGGTATTTTCGGGGGGGGGCATGTTCTAAATTTGGGGCCTATCTGAAAGGATCGAAAACGCCCGCGCTGCAGCGGGAGCACGATTTGGAACAACGGGAACCGCAAAACTTATCCTGGCGAAGGAACCAACCGTGGGCACCGCAATTGTGAATATCTTCTTCGGTGGAGCTCCCTATGGGGCCACAAAGCGCTGCAGTGGGCTGGGGGGAGCGCATGCGGGCAATAGCGCTGGGGCCGGCGGTGGAGCTCCCTATGGGGCCACGAAACGCTGTACTGGGTGGGGGGGACGCAGTAGCACTGGGGCCGTCGGTGGAGCTCCCTATGGGGCCACGAAACGCTGCACTGGGTGGGGGGGGACGCATGCGCGCAGTAGCACTGGGGCCGTCGGTGGAGCTCCCTGTGGGGCCATGAAACGCTATACTGGATGGGGGGACGCATGCGGGCGGTAGCACTGGGACCTTCGGTAGCACTAGCCACGAAACGGGTGAGGGGTATGCCGAACTGGGTTTCCGGGACGCACGCGGGCGGTGGCACTGGGGCCTTCGGTGGAGCTGCCACCGCGGCCCGCGCCTGGGAGGCGGCCCGCGCGCTTCCGTCGGTGTTCGGCTGCGCTGGGCGCGGCGCACAGCGCGCGGCCTGGGCGGCGGCCTTCGCTGCCGAGGCTTCGGCGGCCTCGGCACGCCACCACGTCGCCTCCCTGCTCGACCTCGTCAAAGCTTTCGAGCAGGTCCCGCACGACCTCGTGGCTGCTGCCGCCGCGCGGTTGGACTTCGACCTGGTGGCGCTGCGGCTGTCCCTGGCGGCCTACCGGCTGGCGCGGGCAATCGGCGTTGAGGGCACTTTCTCTTGCCTGCTCGTCGCCACTCGCGGCATCACGGCCGGCTCGGGGTTTGCCACGGTCGAGCTCCAGATGCTGCTGCACGAGACGATGCTCATTGCGACGTTCCGTTGGCCCTTGCTGCAGTTGTTCCTGTACGTGGACGACTTGACCATCACCGCTTCCGGCGTCTCCGAGAAGGCCCTCGTAGCGGTGTCTCGCGGCACGGAGTTCTTCGTCGACACATTCGAGAAGTGCCTCCGGTTGACAGTCTCGCCGACGAAGTCTTTCGCGGTCGCGTCGAGGCCGCGCCTGGCGGCCCGTTTGTCCCTCATGTCCAAGCGGAGGCTGCTGGTGCCGAAGCGCAGCGCGAAGCTGCTGGGGACGCCCTACGCCGGCGGCCGCTCGCGGGCAGCGGGCGTCTTGCGGTGCCGCCTGAAGGAATTCAAAACGCGCATCCCGAGGATACATGCTCTCCGGCGCCAGCGTGTCGACGTTGCTCAAGTCGTAAAGGCGATGGGCAGCCCTAGCATGTTGTACGGCGTGGATATCGTCGGCGCCTCCAACACGCACCTGCACAGCGTCCGGGCCGCTGCGCTCAAGGCGGTGCTGCCGCCTGGTGCCAGCCGGAACGTCGACGTGAGCTTCGCGGCGCTGGATGCCGCGGGGGCCTGTCTGGACCCCGCCCACGCTGCGCACGCCACCCCATTGCGCCATTGGGGCATGGCCTATTGGCAGGCTTGGGCGCCCGCGGAGGAGCTCGACGCCGTCTTCGTGCACGCCCGGGATCGCTCGGCGAACCTTCTGGCGACCGGCCGTTCGCTGTGGTCCGCCGTCGCTGGCCCTGTGGCGGGCGCCATCGCCACCGCCTGGTGCCCGGGGTGGACGTGCCCCGCGCCGAGACGTTTTGAAGACGACCTCGGCGAGCCCGTCGACTTCCTTTCCATGTCCCCCGCGATGGTGGCGGCCGCGGTGCAAAGATCGGTTGGCCGTTGGCGCACGCGGCGGGTGGTGTCGACGCTCCCTACCCTCGTCAGTGGCGATCCTGACATGCCTCTGGTCCAGGGCGCCGGCACAGTCACTGTCCTCGTAGGCCGCCCCCTCGCTGCCCTGATCAAGGGCCGAGGGCGCCCAGGCAGCACGGTGCCGCAGTGGTCTGCGCCTTGTCGCTCCCAGCTCCTGTCCGCCGCCACGGGGGGGCAATGGCCGCAGGTGCGTCTGGCCAAGCTAAGCTGCGGGGCGCCGGTGTCACGGACAAGGCCTGCCAACTCTGCGGGGTCACGCCCGGCACCCTCTTGCATCGCCGTGTTTGCGAGGCCTCGTTGCCCCCGGACGGGCGGCCGGAACCGCCGGAGGTATGTGGGCGCCTACTCTCGGCGTTGTCGGACGCCCGCCTCGCGCTGCTCCGGACCCGCGGGCTTCTTGCACTTCGGCCGCCGCGCCCGCTGCCGCAAGAGGAAATGGCAGCCCGCTGGTTCACGGACCCGCCAGACGCGACTCGTACCGATCTGTGCTGGTACACGGACGGGTCCATGAAGTTTGGCCCTCTTTGGGAGTTCCGGCGTACGGGATGCGCTTTGGTCGTCGTGTCAGAGGCTGGGGACCTCGTGGCATACGGCTCCGCCGTGCCTCCGCCCTGGATTCGCACGGCCGCGGCTGCAGAGCTTTGGGCTGTCATGCTTGTGCTGCCCATCACGCTCAGACCGCCTGTCATTCGCACCGATTGCAGGGCGCTCCTCGCGGCTGCGGAGGCAGGGTCAGCACAAGCCACCAAGCCAACGCGGATGCTCGCTCAGATCTGGTCGCGCGTGGCCACGCTGGTCGACGGCGACATCTCGACTCTGGTCACGGCCGGCAGGCTTACCTGGATGCCAGCTCATGGCGCCCAGACCGTGATCGGTGCGGCACTGCGGTCCGATGGCCACGCGGTCACAGCAGTGGATTGGAGGGCCAACCGCTTGGCGGACATCATTGCCAAAGCTGCAGCTGGCTGTCCGCAGACGTGCGGCCCAGCATCGGGGCTTTTTAAAGTCGCCGAGAAGCTCGTGGCGCACGAGGGAGCAGTGCTGGGCGCGGTCACCCACGCCGCGAACAATCACGTTCGCGAGCTGGTCGGGCCTGGCGGCGCCCTTTGGCGCGTCACGGTGCGCGACGCGGCCGCCGTCCGGCGCCCGCGGGGTTTGCCTCGCCCGCCGCGGCGCGCGCCGCCGACGCCGCAGCCGCCCGCGGAGGCGCCACCCCCGCACGCCGCGCCGCCGCCCGCCGCGGCCGCCGGCCGCCCGCGCGCGCTGGGGGCACGGCGCGCGGCCCAGGCCACTGCAGCCCGCGCGGTTTCTGCTGCGCGCGCCGCCGCTGCCGACGCGGCCACGCTGGCCATCTGCGAGGCGCGCGCGGCCGCGGCGCGGCCGTCCTCGGCGCCGCGCGTCCTCGCCCGCGTCGGCCAGGGCGCGGCGGGCTGAGCCAGCGGCGCTCCTCCTCCTCCTCCTCCTGGTGCAGGGAGCTCTCGCGGGCGCGCGTTCTTCGCTGCTGCTCCGAGTGTCTCTGGCCGTGGAAGCCTCTGGTGGAGCTCCCTATGGGGCCACGAAACGTGTGAGGGGTGTGCCAAATGAAGTTTTCGGGACGCATGCGGGCGTTCCCACTGGAGGCTTCGGTGGAGATCCCTATGGGGCCACGAAACGTGTGATGGGTGTGTCAAATTGGGTTGTCGGGACGCATGCAGGCGGTGGCGATGGGGCCTATGGTGGAGCTCCCTATGGGGCCACGAAACGTGTGAGGGGTGTGCCAAATTAAGTTTTCGGGACGCATGCGGGCGTTCCCACTGGAGGCTTCGGTTGAGTTCCCTATGGGTCCACGAAACGCGTGAGGGGTGCGCCGAAATGGATGTGGGTGACGCATGTGGACGGTAGCACGGGGGCCTTCGGCGGAGTTCCCTCTGGGGCCACGAAACGCAGTACTGGGTGGGTGAAACGCAGGGAGGAGGGGGAGGAGGGAGGAAGGAGAACGCGGGGACCGTGACGGTCCCCGCGTTTGAGAGACGGTCCGACCGTCTCTTCAAAACGAAGACCCAACACCACAGGATGGTTGGGAAAAACCGGCGCTTCAGCGGGAGTAACAGCTTGGACAAAAAAAATAGCGAAAACCCATTTCCGGGGAATCCTGTGTAATACGCGGAGGGGGGTCGGATATCTTCCGGACGTCATCAGGGGGAAGAGGAGAATAGTACTCATAGTGTGGAATTGTAAAGGGAGGAGGAGGGGAGGAGGGGACGAGGAGGCAAGGAGGAAAAGGAGGGGAGGGGAGGGGAGGGAGGAGGAGAGGGGAGGAAGAGAGGGGAGGATGGGCGGGAGGAGGGAAGGAGCATCATGGGGAGGGGAGGAGGACGACACCAGAAGGGGAGGAGGAGGAGGAGGAGGAGGAACAGAAGAGAAGGATGAAGTGGGGGAAGAAAAAGGGGAGGAGGAGGGAAGGGAGGGGAGGGGAGGGGAGGAATGGTGAGGGGAAGGAGGGGAGGAGGGGAAGAGGAGGAGGAGGGGACGGGAGGGAACGGGAGGAGGAGAAGGAAGGAAAGGAGTGGAGGAGGGCTGGGGGGAGGGAAAAAGGGGGAGGGGAGGAGGAGGGGTGGAGGAAGGGGAGGAGGAGGACGTAGGCGGACGAGGAGGAGGAGAAAGAGATGAGGAGGAAGAGGAGGAGGAGGAGGAGAGGAGGAGGGGAGGAGGAGGAGGGGGAGGAGGAGGAAAAGGAGGAGGACGAGGAGGAGGAGGAGGAAGAGGAGGACGAGTTGGAGGAGGAAGATAAGGAGAAGGAAGAGGGGGAGAAGGCCCAGTGCAAACCCCACAGCCATAAACGATGTTGGAATACACCCTGCCTTCAAGCTCCCTCTTCATAGGCCCCCAGGACGGTTCATATCCAGTGGGGGGATTGCCTCGTTGGAAGACAACCGTTTGAAGACCCTGAAGCATGCCAAGACATTGTTTTCGGGATTCCAAAGCCACGGATCAATCCGGATGTTGCGTACTGACGATCCTGGATCGCGCCAGAACGCCATCGCCATTCTTGGGATTTCAAAACCGCGAACCAACGTGACTGTTGCACCCGCAATCTGCTGAATCCTTCCAAAACACAATTGATGGCACGCTGGTGGAACCCATGAAACTTTTGCAAATTGTATAAACGAATGCGCGCGGCGCTAAAGCAAGAATGCACATCTTAAAAAGGAACCGCCCTCAATCCGTGAATATGTTGTATTTGTGTTTAAACGAATGCGCCTGGCGCTAAGGCGAAAGTAACATGTTGAAAATGGGTTGTCCTCAATCCGTGAAATTTCTGCAAAAATGCAAAACTCATGTGCGCGGCGGTAGAGCGAGATCCACATCTTGAAAACGGGTCGCCCTCAATCCGTGGAACTCTTGTACTGCGTTAGAAAGAAAATGCGCGGCGCTTACGCGAGAGCCACAAGTTGAAAACCACCCGCCCTCCATCTGCGAAGCTGTTGCCAATTTCTGTAAGAACCAGAATCATTAATGGTGAGGAATTATCAGGCGAAACGCCTGGCCCGCCCTACAAGATGGCCTTGGGGTGCGACAGGGCGAAGTTCTTTACAAGGAAAAAGAACTGATGAGGAGGGGAGGAGGGCGGAGGAAGAGGACGATGGACGGGAGGGGAGCGAGCGCGTGCGACTGTGATCGTGCGCGCACGTGCGCGTGTGCGCGGGTGCGCGCGCGTGCAAGTGTGCGCGCGTGCAAGTGTGCGCGTGTGCGCGTGTGCGCGTGCGCGCGCGTGCGCGCGTGCACGCGTGCGCGCGCGCGCGTTCGCGGGTACGCGTGCGCGCGCGTGCGCGTGTGCGCGTGCGCACGCGTGCGCGTGCGCGCGTGCGCGTGTGCGCGTGTTTGCGTGCGCGCGTGTGCGCGTGTGCGCGCGCGCGTTGGAGCGTGTGCGCGTGTGCGCGTGTGCGCGCGTGTGCGTGTGCGCGCAATCGCGCGTGCGTGTGTGCGCGCGTGCGCGCGCGTGCGCGTGTGCGCGTGTGCCCGCATGAGCGCGTGCGCGCGTGCGCGCGCGTGCATGCGTGCGCACGTGTGCGCACGTGCGCGTGTGTGCTCGTGCGCGTGTGCGACGTGCGCGCGTGTGCACACGTGCTGCGCGTGCGCGCGTGCGCGCGCGCGTGCAAGTGTGCGCGCGTGCAAGTGTGCGTGTGCTGTGCGCCTGTGCGCCTGTGCGCCTGTGCGCCTGTGCGCCTGTGCACGTGTGCGCCTGCGCGCGTGTGCGCGTGTGCGCACGTGCGACTGTGCGCGCGTGCGCGCGTGCGCGTGCGCGAGTGCGCGTGCTTGTGTGCTTGTGCGCTTGTGCGCCTGTGCGCCTGTGCGCCTGTGCGCCTGTGCGCGCGTGCGCCTGTGCGCCTGTGCGCGTGTGCGCTTGTGCACCTGTGCGCCTGTGCGCCTCTGCGTGTGTGCGCGCGTGCGCCTGTGCGCCTGTGCGCCTGTGCGCCTGTGCGCGTGCGCGCCTGGGCACCTCTGCGCCTGTGCGCGCGTGCGCGTGTGCGCGCGTCTGTGTGCGTGCGCGCGTGCCCGCGTGCGCGTGCGCATGAACGTGCGCGTGCGCGTGCTTGCGCGCGCGCGCGTGGGCGTGCTCGTGTGCGTGCGCGTGCGTGTGCGTGCGCGTGTGCGTGTGCGTGTGCGCGTGCGTGTGCGTGTGGTGTGCGTGTGCGCGTGCGCGTGCGTATGCGTGTGCGTGTGCGCGTGCGTGTGCGTGTGCGTGAGCGTGTGCGCGTGCGTGTGCGCGTGCGTGTGCGTGTGCATGTGCGTGTGCGTGTGCGCGTGCGTGTGCGTGTGTGCGTACGCGTGCGTGTGCGCGTGCGTGTGCGTGTGCGCGTGCGCGCGCGTGCGCGTGCGCGTGCGCGTGCGCGTGCGCGTGCGTGTGCGCGTGCGCGCGTGCGCGCGTGCGCGTGTGCGCGTGTGCGCGGGTGCGCGTGTGCGCGTGTGTGCGCGTGTGCGCGTGCGTGCGCATGCGCGCGTGTGCGCGTGCGTGCGCGTGTGTGCGCGTGTGTGTGTGTGTGTGTGTGTCTGTGTGTGCGCGTGTGTGTGTGTAACTGTGTGCGTGCGGCTGCGTTTCTGTGTGTCTGTGTGTCTGTGTGTGCCTGTGTGTGTGTCTGTGTGTCTGTGTGTCTGTGTGTGTGTCTGTGTGTGTCTGTGTTCGTGTGTCTGTGTGTCTGTGTCTGTGTGCCTGTGTCTGTGTGTCTGTGTCTGTGTGCGTGCGTCTGTGTACGTGCGGCTGCGTGCGTGTGCCTGTGTGCGTGTGTGTGTGTGTGTGTGCGTGCGTATGTGTGCGTGCGTATGTGTGCGTGCGTGCGTCTGTGTGCGTGCGTCTATGTGCGTGCGTCTGTGCGCGAGCGTCTGTGCGCGCGTGCGTCTGCGTGCGCGCGTCTGTGTGCGTACGTCTGTGTGTGCGTGCGTCTGTGTGCGTACGTCTGTGTGCGCGTGCGTCTGTGTGCGTGCGTCTGTGTGCGTGCGTCTGTGTGCGTGCGTCTGCGTGCTTGCGTCTGCGTGCGTGCGTCTGCGTGCGTACGCCTGTGTGCGTGCGTCTGTGTGCGTGCGTCTGATCTGCGTGCGTCTGTGTGCGTGTACGTGCGTGTGCGCGTGCGTTTGATTGCGTGCGTCCGTGTGCGTGCGTCTGTGTGCGTGCGTCTGTGTGCTGGCGTCTGTGTGCGTGCGTCGGTGTGCGTGCGTCTGTGTGCGTGCGTCTGCGTGCGTGGAACTGTGTGCGTGAGTCTGCGTGCGTGCGTCTGTGTGCGTGCGCCTGAGTGCGTGCATCTGTGCGCGTGCGTCTGTGTGCGTGCGTCTGTGTGCGTGTACCTCTGCGCGTGCGTCTGATTGCGTGCGTCTGTGTGCGTGCGTCTGTGCGCGTGCGTTTGATTGCGTGCGTCCGTGTGCGTGTGAGTGCGTGTGTGCTTGCGTGTGAGTGTGCGCATGTGCTTGCGTGTGAGTGTGCGTGTGTGTGTGAGTGTGTGTGCGTGTGAGTGTGTGTGTGTGTTGTGTGCGTGTGTGTGTGTGTTGTGTGTGGCGTGTGTGTGTGTTGTGTTCTGTGTTGTGGTGCGATGTACTGTGATGTGTTGTGTTGTGGTGTGGTGTGGTGTGGTGTGTTGTGGTGTGGTGTGGTGTGCTGTGGTGTGGTGTGTTATGTTATGTTGTGTTGTGATGGGTTGTGTTGTGTTGTGTTGCTTTGTGGTGTGGTGTAATGCGTTGAATTGTGATGTGGTGTGTTGTGGTGTGTTGTGGTGTGGTGTGCTGTGTTGTGTTGTGTTGTGGTGTGTTGTGCTGCGTTGCGGTGTGGTGTGTTGTGTTGTGGTATGGTGTAGTGTGGTATGGTGTGTTGTGGTATGGTGTGTTGTGTTGTGTTGTGTTGTGTTGTCATGTGCTTTGTGTGTTGGGTTGTGATGTGTTGTGTCGTATGTGTTGGTTGTG